AATATTAAATCCTCACAATAGGCCTGCAAAATATTATATATTGTAATTATCCCTACTTTAAATATTGGGAAAACAAAACTGGCAAATAGCTAGAACTGAGGTTCAAACCTAAAAGAGGATTTTTGTCTAGCACTGGATCCTAGAACAAGTGTCAGAGAGACAGCAAAGCCCAGGACTCTCTCAGTAGAGAAAAGATGCTCATTTGTCCAGTTCTGGACCCAGACGAAAGCAAGAGGAGAGAGATGACGACTCCACTCTCCAGAATTCTGTCCCAAGGGTCTAGAAGCCCCCTTTTCCCTTCCCCAGGTCCTGAAGGGAACTAAAGAATGAATGGTGGGGTCTGAGTCACAAAGGATTGACCTTTCAGAAGCATGAAGCCTTCCCACCAGTGTAGGGATGAGATGAGGTGGGGCCACTGGTGATATGTTGCCCTGGAAAGGACTCCCACATGGGGAATCAGACTACTGCCAGTCAGTTCTGGGTTTGCCACTTACTAGTTGTGTAGCCACAGACAAATTGGTTTATCTCATGGCATCTCACCTATAAAATACTGACCCAAATAAAACTTTCTCTCTCCACCTTTAAGGGTTGTTCAGAGGATCTAAGCTGCTACACTATAAAAACACTGTACTGTAAAGGGGCTGAGCAAGTATGAGAGAGAGTTATTCACAAAGGTAAGTTAGGAGAACCCTGAATGCCAAAGTCATTATCATTCTTCACCTTGAGACACTGGATGAGTTGTAGTTTCTGGAGCAACAAGCAGCTCTCAGCTTCCTCATTGCTATAAATGGCTGTGAGAAGCATTAGAGTGAATGTCAAGAAACCTTTCTTCAGATGTTCATCCCAGGACCACCAGAGAGGGAGAGGTGACTTAAGAAAGGGGTTAGGGGTCATATCATCATGAGAGAAAGAAGAAGTGAGGTCCCAGCAAGGGCAAGCAACACTTGGCTTTGAAAAAGCCCAAATAGGCAGACTCTTTGGATTTCTATCTAGTCCTAGAACTCCAACTCCCACAATGAGTGCCCCCAAATCTGGCTGCCATCCTTGTTGCCCTCATCCTTTCTACCACCCCTTTCACTTTCACATGCTTCCCCTCAGGTCATCTGGGGAAGGAAAAGGGAGATGCTGAAGGAGGCCTTACCTCAGACACAGAAAGCTAAGTCAGAAGACTTGTTTTCAAATCCCAGTTTTGCCACTTACTAGTTAGACAGTCTTGGGCAAGTCACTTTACCTCTCTGAGCCTCTGTTCCTTCCTTGTAAAGTGGGTAGAATAAGGTCTGCATTTGCTGTTTCAAAACGTTTTGAAGGACAAATAAAATGATGGATTGGAAAGTGGTTTGTCAATGGCCACATGCTTCAAACAAGTGAGAGAAACCAGCATTGTCATTGAGACAGAGGCTTGACCAGCTCAAAGTACAGGCCATACATTTGTCTGAATCCCCCTAATGGCCACCAAATGCTCAATGGTGCCATGTTCTCTTTGGAAGTCCCTTCTCTTTTCAAACCATTCAGCAGTACTCCAATTTTGACCATGGACTATCTAACCAAACTTATTATCTACTCATCCACAAAATTTTCTCTATCTGGCTCCCATCCCCATTTTGGTGAATGCCATCACTAGCCAAAAAATTGGCCATAGGAGATACCGCAAAATCATCTTCAGTATTAGGTAATATTAAGTAATTATTGTTAATTTTCTTTATTGTAGTTAAATGTCTGATGGTTATGGAAAAATTCATATTTAGAGACACACAATGAGATATTTATGAGTAAAATGACAAGATATCTGGGATTTTCTTTAAAATGTCCCTGCCATAACACACAAAAAAAATGTTACTGACAAAAAAAGGGAGAGAGGCAACTGAAACAAGATGGTCAAAATGTTGATAACTGTTAAAGGTGGGTGATGGGTAAATGGGGATTCATTATACTGTAGTTTTCACTTTGTGTGTGAAATTTTAAAGATTAAAAAGTAAAAAATCATTCTTTATATCTCCCTTCCTTTCCTCCCCACATCTAATTGGGTGTGGTAGGCTGAATAATGCCCCCTTCCCACAAAGATGTCCACATCATAACCCCTGGAGACTGAGTGGCAAATGGGATTTGCAGTTCTGATTAAGTTAAGGATCGTGAGCTGGGGAGATGATTATTCTAGATTATCTGGATGGCCTTAATGTAATTACAAGGCATCTTATGAGAGGAATACAGGAGGGTAGGGTGAGAGAGAGATTTGAAGATTCTATGCTGCTGGCTTTGAAGATGGGGGAAGGAACCAAGAAGCCAAGGAACACAGGCATCTACTAGAAGCTGGAAAAGGTATGAAACAGATTCTTCCCTGAAGCCTCCAGAAGGAACACAACCCTGGCAATACCTTGATTGTAGAATTCTGACCTCCAGAACTGCAAGAGAATAAATTTGTGTTGTGTTTAGCTGAAGGGGAGTAGAATATGACACCCCAAAATGTCCCCCTTCGGAATGTGGATTATTCTGAGCTGAAAGCAATCAAGGCTCAGCAGACTCAGGAAAAGCTTTATACCTAGGCTTTAGCCACTTGAAATAATTTAGATGGGGAAGCTGTACCAGGAAGAAAGCTATTACCAGAGCTAATAATATCTGACATCAGTATGGCAAGACAAACACCTGATTACTAAACATCTGACCTTCTCATCTTCCTGTGAATTGCCTTCCTCCCCTTTGAAACCCCAGGCCCATCCCATTCCTTAGCTCAGATGGTATATAAGCCTGACTGCCTTTGAGCCTCACATCTCTGTGGGGCTCCTGTACAGAAGTAAGAAATTAAATTTGTTTTACTCCTGTTAATCTATCTTTTTATTATAGGGGCGCTCTCAGTCAAGAACCTAGAAGGGTAGATGGAAAATTATTTTTCCTCCCCTACAGGACCACTAATTTTGTGGTAATTGCAAGCAGCAGTAGGAAACAAATACAGTGGTAGTTTCGCATATTTTGCTTTCTGAACACCTTTCTGATCTTTCCAACCTCTCCTCTCCTTTCCATCCCTACTGACAATGCATTGGGCCAGGCAGTTTTCACCTCCTAATCCGTTTTTCTACATCCTCTCTTTTTCTAGTCCATCTTCCTTCACTGCTACCAGACTTCCTTTTGGGAAACACATATTTGATCATGTAACAACTTTTTTTATATAATTAAGAGATTTTTGTTTTTGTTGTTGTTTTTTAATCAAAGATCTCCCAGTAATGGAGCCACATGTTATGTTGTAACTGGCTATATTATAGTCCTTTATGTCACCATTTTTTTACCTTTTTCTATTTTATTTTTCATTGAGGTTATGATAGTTTACAATCTTCTGAAATTTCAGTTGTACATTATTATTTGTCAGTCATTGTGGGTGCACCACATCACCCTTTGTGCCCACCTTCCACTCCCACTTTCCCCTGGTAACCACTAATCTGTTTTCCTTGTCCACATGCTTAACTTCCACATATGAGTCAAGTCATACAGAGATTGCCTTTCTCTGTCTGGCTTATTTCACTTAACATAATACCTTCAAGGTCCATCCATGTTGTTGTGAATGGGAAGATTTTATCCCTTTTGATGGCTGAGTAGCATTCCATATAATATACCATACCTTCTTTATCCAATCATCAGTCGATGGGCACTTAGCTTGCTTCCACGTCTTCGCTATTGTGAATAATGCTGCAATGAACATAGGTATGCATGGGTCTCTTTGAATTGCTGATTTAAAGTTCTTTGCATAGATACCCAGTAGTGGGATGGCTGGGTCATAAGGTATTTCTATTTTTAACTTTTTGAGAAATCTCCATACTGTTTTCCATAGTGTCTGCATCAGTCTGCATTCCCACCAGCAGTGTATGAGGGTTCCTTTTTCTCCACAACCTCTCCAACATTTTTTATTTTTTCTTTTGGTTATTTTAGCCATTCTAACAGGTGTAAGGTGATATCTTAGTGTAGTTTTGATCTACATTTCCCTCACTGATCATGTAACAACTTTTGCTTAAAAACTATCAATGGTTCCCCACTTAGGGGATATCAAATTCACAGCAGCCTAGCCTAGAATTACCTGACTAGCCTCATCTCCCACCACTCCCGTCCTCCAGCCAACAGGCATGAGGCTTCAGCCACAACCAGCTATTCCACATTCCCCAGGCACACTTGCCCATCCAGGCCTTGGAACCTTGGCACTAGCTTTTCTTTTAGACATTATTGCCCATCATCCCACTCTTATCCCACTGAGCTGACTCATGCTCATCCTTCTAGGTCCAGCTCAAATGTCATTTCTTCTGAGAAACCATCTTAATCAGCCTCTCTTCTGTCCCCAACAGAGTTATTTGTCCTTCCTGCTACTTTCACAGGCCTCTATATTTGCCATGATCACACTACTATTTAATCACACTGCAGTGAAGTTCCCTGTTTGTCTACCTTACTACAATTGTGTGAGCTCCCTGAGGACGGGGATTGTGTCTGATTGACCTCCCTGTCCCCAGAGTCTGTGTAGCACTGGGCATGTGATGAACCTCAATAAGTGTTTGTTGAATGAATCTTTTTGAATAAATGAATATTACTGTTCCAGTTTTACAGTCCTGGCCTGGGAATATAAAACCTACTGAGATAGAGGTACAAGGGGTCTCTGCTGTTTAACCAAGGCCAGGAGAAGGAAGAGAGATTGCCAATTCAGAGTGGGTCTACGTTGGGGTGCCCATTAGACAGATAGAAAACTGAGTCCCAGAGAAAACCCCAGGATTTCTGGCTCTTCAATCTCTTGAAACCCAGAGGAATGGGGAAGGGAAGAGTGGAGAAGAGAAAGAGGAGAAGGAACAAGGTACCCAATGGCTGTTCTGAAAGTAAAACACAACACAGGAGGCAAGGTGGTCAGCCAATACCGAGAAGTTGTCCTGGAGGTTTGAGGCCATTTGGCCATAGCAGAACAGCAGGGTGCAGCCTGCCTACTTCTGCTGAAGGTCACTGAGGCTCTGTGGGGACAGGCCCTAGTGAAAGTCACAATGCCCACTCCTGGGCTCATGGCCACAGCAGCGGGCATGCTGGATGGCAAGAAGGTCAGTACCCTCTCCCCTACAGCCTCCTCTCAGCCTTTCCCCATGGATATGTCCAGGGAGGGCTGCATAACTCACACCAAAAGGAAACCTGGGTCACAAGACAGAGTGAGTGAATGAGTGTTAGTTTCTATGAGTGCTTGGAAGACCCATTTCCTCAGATAAGAAGAAGGTCAAGGGCCTCAGACCTACATGCCTGTCCCTAAAAGCTGGCAATTCATAGAGACAGAGAAACTGTGTAGCCCTTAAGCATTCCTCAGACCCCAGTACCTGCTAAGCCACCTTCACCTCCTAAGTGAGTGCTATGGCTGGATGGCAGACTATCTTTCCCTTAAGAGCAGCAAGGAGGCCATTGCAAAGACCCTTTTAATGGGATAGAACTAGATGGTAGATGGGGAAAACTCAAGTGGTCCCCACCTCCCACTAACCTAATGGCAGCCCTCTTTGGGAATAGCTCCAGGACAGGCCTAAGTGAAGATGGGAGGTAGAGACTGGAAGGCGAACAGGGGGGTTGTCTCCAGACATTAGTTGTCCACCAACTCTCCTCCCCGTGGGAATAGCGTACACTGTGAATTGACCTAGTTTAGAATGTTGCTGCCAAATTCTTCTAGCAGAGCACAGGTTAGATCCAGATATGGAGAATTTGCCAATCCCACGGTGAGGGCAATGCTTTAGATGGCAACGAGGGAAGGCAATGAAATGGAGGCATGGAAAAAAGTTAGCTTTTGCTTTCCTCTCCCTCCTTGCCTCTCATGGTGGGACAAAAGGCAAGCACCCTGTGTTTGAGACCCACATCTGCCCAATGGTTTGACCCAGGGGCCTCTGTTTCCTCAGCTATAAAATAAGGGAGAAGATTCTTTGCTTAGGATATCTGTAGAGATCAAGAGAGGTGTGTGAGAAACTTTGTAAACAGTTAAAGCAAGGTACACATATGAAAATTACGATTTGCTTATAAACGCACGAGTTTATTGTTATACAGAGTGGGCTAGTGGAGCTGTTCAAAGACCTATATCAAGTGTAGCAGGGGGCTTTCCATGGGGCTGAGGGACCCAGCTAGGGGAGGCTGTCCTTTCTCTGGGGCCAGGCTGGGTCAGATAGGGAGGAGAGGAAGGAAGCTTTGGTTAAACTGTGTTGCTAGAAGTGAAGAGAGCTGGCCTGGGGACCATCTACCCTGCAGTGGACAGGGATTAAGCCTCCTGACTCTCCCAGGCCTTGTATCCTGTGGTGTTCCTTAGCCTTGCCCTTTCTCTCCTATGTCCCAAAGGGGCCCAGGACTGACTTTTTGGTAAACCTTTGCTCAGGCAGCAGTTTTTCCTCATTCCCTGGCATCCTAGACTCAGCCACCTTCCTAAGGGCACTTGGACCTGCTGCTGATCCAGTGCCCTTCTTGGTGACTTCAACTGCATAGCACAGAAGTTAAGAGAGTAGGCTCTGAAATCAGACTGCCTGGGTTTGAAGCCCACCACCAAAACTTGCAAAGTGTGTGATCTTTGGAAAGTGGTCTACCTGCTTTGAACTTCATTTCCTCCATTTGTAAAACGGTTATAATTATAGTCTTTACCTCATAGGGTTGTTATGAGGAATAAATTGTAGTGTATATAATAATATCTAATTTTTTAAATGTCAAGCACTGTGCTCAGCACTTCTTATTTATCTCAAGTTACAAATGAGAGAAATTGAGGCTCAGAGAGGTTAAGTCACTTGCCCAAGGTCACACAACTAGCAAGTAGCAAAGCTAGATTCCAATCCAGATCATCTGGTTCCAGAGCCCAAGCTCGTATCTGCTCTGCTGGTTTGGTGAATGTCCAGTGTTCAATAAATGACAGTGATTATTATTACTCTTAATAATCATAATAATTTCTGACGGGACAGAATCCCAGAGGAGCTAAAATCAGACACGAGAATGGTGACAAAATTTTAATGCTGATAGAGACCTCAGGGATCATGTGAGGCAATCCTTGCATTGTACAGAAAAGAAAAGTCAGCCCCAGGAAGGTGGAGTGCTTGCCCAAAGACATGCAGCAATTACGGGAAGAGCTAGGGTACATTCCTGTTCTGTTGACCCCCAAGCCCATGCCCTTTATATCCTCCCAGGTCTTTTCCCCCAGCCCCCGGGCCCAGGGACCATTGATAGAGTATGGAGTAGGGATGCAGAGGTGTTCCAGAAGGTACAGCAGACTAGGGTCCCCCAACTCTTCTCCTGAGTCCTCACTTCTCACTGGCACACCTATTGGTGAGATATCTCCAGTAGGCTGCTTCTGGTGTTCCTATACCAGGGGGATACCCTCAGGACAATCCAACAGTACATACAAAGCCTAGCCTAAAAAGATACCAGAACTGTAATATGAGCCTGGGGGGATGGAGAGGGAGGAGCAGTCCACCAGCAGACAGAGGGGGATCTCAAGACTCAAGGAGAAACTGGAAAGATGAGGCACTCTACAAACAAGTTCCCACAGCCAGCAAGATGCCAGCCCTCCTCAATTGCTCAGCTCACTACTACACACAAAGACACCATGTGGGCAGGCAACACTCTGGCTGAGGACAGCCTGGATGCACAGCCCTGGCCTCAGTCCTCAAAGAAGCCCCAAAGATGCAAGAAAGCGCAGTCACAAGTCCAAGTTTTAGGGGCAACATGGAAAGTCATGGGAAATATAATGAACCTAGTGTCAGAAGCCCCGAGTTTGCCTATCTACCCTTGACTCCTGCACCATGGACCCATTGCATGACCTTAGGCAAACTATCTAACCTAGCTGAGCCACAGATATCTTATCTGTAAAATAGACTGATGATCATCTTCCTCCCAGGGCCAGAGAGAGGTTTAAATCAGATAATGCTTATGAAAGCCTTTAAACATTATAAAGTGATCTATAAATCCAAAGACACAATACTAGTGAAACATGCCAGTCTCAGGTGAAAAACAAACAAATTTCAGATTTTGTTTTCTCAAGAAGTAATTTCAACTCTGCCTGCAAGCTTGAAGTCCCCAAAGGGAAGCAGGGTGGTGAGATGAAAGGAGTATGAGAGCCAGGGTGACCACCTGTTCTGGTCTGCCCAGGGCCAAGGGGTGTTCCCAGGACTCAGGACTTTCAATATTAAAACTGGGAAAATCCCGGGGAAACCAGAACATGGTAGTCACCCTAAAAAGAACCCTGGCCAGAAAGAAAGAAGAAAGGAGATGAACATTTGAGTTTTTACTCTGTGCTGGGCACTGTCTAGGGATTTTTCCTCACACTCAAATCCCAGATCTGACATTAACTTACGTTTGGACAAGTCTCTGGGTCTCAGGTAGGATAGGATCTCTGAAGTCCATCTCAATTTGAACATTCTGGGAATCCTTTCATTCAAACTCAGGCGGCATTTAAGGCCCAGGGAGGTAAAGCCCACCTAGCAGACGGGAGGCAGATGAACATGGCCATGCCTCCCCATACCACCCCCAACCCATCCCACTCCCTCTGCTCCCCTATCCCACCCTTCTCTAAGGACTCTGGTAGAACTATATCTACACTTGCTGAACTCCTAGCGGAGTACTGTCATCTGGATTTTCTCCATGAGCATCTGCAGGAACATTTCATCAATCTGAGAAAACATGCTTAGATCTCAGGGATCAAGGCAGGCTAGAGAAGGCCTCACAGGTGTGTGGGTCAGCTTCTTGCAGTAGAGTGTGGGCCTGGAACCTGCGGCTGATGTGTGGTGAGGAGGAGGCTTATTTTGAGTCCTAGCTTAGCTCAACTGGGAGCAGTTTCAAAGGCCTCCAGTTTAGGGCAAGGATTGAAATACCAGGACTGGGTGTCTAAGGGCAGAGGCAGAGCACAGGTGGGGTTGTCTCAGGAACAATGGCTGCCCTAGGCACAGGAGTTGGAGATAACCTGAAGTGGCCCAGAATACCTTCAGAATTGTCTGGACAGGGGCCTCAGGGGGAGCTCTTGCTTTCTCCCAGTTTACTGGTCTAGGACTAGCTCAACCTTCTGCAAAGTGAATTCCTCTCCCCCTACTCCCAGTGGAAATGACTCCAGGACCCCCTGGGCATAACTTTTCTCCCTCTTCTCCCTCTGGGCTGGCAGATCCAAGGCCCTCCCTGTCTCAGCTCCCTGTCCACTACCATCCCTACTCCCCAAACAAAGTTCCAGGGGCCAAGAGTAAAGAGGGGGCAGAGTTGGGCAGTTTTCCTGGGAACATTATACCCCTAGGAGCGGGGATGGCAATTTAGGCTTTCTCTAGAGGACTGGGCTCGGGGAGTAAGGGATAGACAGCAGCAAAAGCCCAGGCTTTGGAGTTAGAAAACCTGGGCCAAAGGCCCAGTCCTGCCATTTACTTATTGGCTGTGTGGACTTGGGCAAATCACTTGTACCTCTTTAAGTCTCAATTTCTTCCTCAGAAAATGGGAGAAATGACAATCTATTAGCCTCAGAGTGTTGGTGTGGACAACAAATGTGTAGCAGACATGGATTTTGTAAATTGTCACAGTCTCTACATATGTTTGCCATTTATTTACTTCTCCTTTATAAGTCAATTGAACAGAACACATTGATTGAGTGCCCACTATGTGCCAGGCACTGTAGGGACTACGAAGATGAAGAATACACGATCTCTGAAGACACACAAAAGCCAAATGTTGCTATGACAAGGTCATAGAAATATGGATATTTTTTCCTTCTTTTCTCTATTTTCTACATTTTTTTCCATAATGTGGTTGTTATTTTTCATAAACAAATGATAAGTTAATATTGGTTGAATATCTACTGTAGGGCAGCAGAATTTGCACCCCAAAATGTGTCTCTTTGGCTTGATTATTTTTAAAAACAAAAGACTCAGGAAGAAACTCTGACCTTCTCTCTAACTGCCTAAAAGAATTTAAGACAGAGGGCCTGTTTCAGGAAGGAGCTATCACCATAGATAACTATAATATAATATGAACTAGGTGTGGTAGACAGGGAGGAACCTAGCAACGCCCATTTGATGAGTCCTCTCCATGTCTCATTGTCTTTGCAAGGCATGGGAAATATTTGTTCACCAAACATTTGCTTTTCCATCTCCATGTAAATTGCCTTCCCCTCCTTTGAATTCCAAAACCACTACCCCCAACATCCTCTTTTGTCTTGGGCTGAAAATTAAGGTGGTGGCTTCAGTCATTTTAGTGAGTTACTCAGTTTTCCTGGTTTTCTCCCATGTATATGGGGTCATTAAATTTGTTTGATTTTCTCCTGTTATTCTGTCTTGTGTCAATTTAATTCTTAGACCAGCCAGAAGGACCTACAGGGTTATTTCTTCTTCCCCAACAGTACTATGTACCAAGCATCATACTGGGCACTTTGCACACATTATCTTATTTAATCCTTGTGACAATTCTATACTGCTCCCCTTATAGGAGTGTTACAAGGATTAAATGAGATGTTTATAAATCTTTTACATGATTTTACAAATACAGATATTGGACTCAAGAGGTTAAGCCACTTGCTGAAGATTATACAGCCAATAAGTGAGTAGTAGAGCCAGAGGTTCAATCCAGACCTGTCAGATTCCAAAGCCAGCACTCCAAAGCCAAAACCTCCCTCCAGGAGAAATTGCCCTTAACGGGTAACTGAAATACACAGCACACTGTACTCTAAGACAGACTATGTTAAGTTCCAGAATAAAGAGGGAAATTTCTTTATTTTATTTTTTAAAATTTATTTATGTATTTTGTGTGAGGAGGATTGGCCCTGGTTAACATCCATTGCCAATCTTCTTTTTCTCTCTCTCTCTTTCTTTCTTTTTATTGCCGTAACATTGGTTTATAACATTATATAAATTTCAGGTGTACATTGTTATGTATTTTAATTTCTGTGTAGATTAAAGGTGGACATTTATGTGCACACAAAGAAGAATAGTAAGTAAACTCAAATGGGATGGGCGTGGCAAAAAAAGAAGCTTCTCAAAACAGCTTGGAACCAACCCTCTTACCAGAAACATCTGGGACTCTGGGTATACAGAGGGTGATCTAAGGAGAGAGGTGGGTCATCTTACAATCAGAAAGAGTTTGAGTGCTGCTCAGTCCTTAGCATCTAGGGGCTCATTAATCTGTTAATTTATTTAAATACTCCTTGAGCACCTGCTCTGCTGTAGGTTTAAAGCTAGTCCCTGGGGAATCAAAAAGAATTAAGACAGTTTTTGACCTCATTTAAAGACTAATTGGACAGACACAGTCACACAAACAGATAATTATAAAACAATGCAAAAAAGCAGAGGTAAAGATACATAGCCACGATATTAACAAAGTACCCAGGCTAGTAGAGGACAAGGAGAACTTTTAATCTCTATGCTTCTCTTTTAGCTTAGCCACACCCAAAAATTGATTGTGGACTACAGAAGAGGACATGGGTGGGGGAGCTGGGACAGGGCTTATGAGGATGGGGTACGGCTTCCCAGATTAGTGGCTGCAATATACCTTGGGGTCCCAAGGTTCTTAACAGAACATAACATAACATTTGATGTTAATAGACCCTATTGGCTGAGCACACATTCAGCATATGTGTGAGACTCTAAGCTAGGTACTTTACCTACATCATGTCATATAATCCTCCCAACAACCCACTGAAGTGAGTATGATAGTCCTCATTTTGCAGCTAGAGAAATCAAGTCTCAGAAAGATTAAGCAACTAGCCCATGTTTATGCAGTTAGTTCAAACTGGGCCTGGAATCCTCATCTGTTAGTCTCCAAAGTTCCTGCTCTTTATTTGATTCTTGAAAACCATGAAAAATATTTCCCAACAGACAAGATATCATACACATGTGTCTAAAATCACAACCCACAGCACACATGTCCCGGGGAAAAAAAAAGCAAAACGAGAAGATACTCAAACCCTTCATCTTAACAGGTGCTGCTGACTTGGGGCAGTGTTTAACAAAGATTTATGGAAGCAAAAAAAACATAAATAGAGAAAAAGTCAATTCTTTAACTTAATTATGCCAAGCTAGGCAAATAAATTACAGCCAGGATCACACTTGGCAGTGGGAGCCACTGAGACACTGGTCACCCCACCAATCCCTCTGATGATCTGGCTTCCTCACTTCCCACTCGAAGGCTATCCTGCCAGGACTGGGCACTTGGGTGAGGACACTGAACTTACAAGGAACAGGATCTCAGCCGACTGCTCTTCAGCTCAAGGTATTATATAGTCAGACTCCTGGCTAGTACTTCCAACCTCTTCATCTGCACCAGGGCTAGGACAGTGTTCAGAAAGTAAGAAGTCTTCT